GATGACGGCAATCAATATTGGATCCCATGTGGATATATTGATGCCCAATCCCTTTAGTGATGCCAGGGATTCGATAGTTGTAACGTACAACTCTTTAAATGACTTGGAGTCGTCATTAGCTGTGTTATAATTTAGGAAGCGGTTTAATACCGTGCTAGCGACGTCTCTGGGATTTTTGTATGTATCAATCAGAATTTCCCAGGCACTCAAATAGTTTTCTTCCTTTAGATCGATATGTCGGATCAACCTTTCTGCCTCTCCAGTTACGGTTGTTTTCAGATACCACATCTTCCGAACTGTGGTCATGTTTGTTTCATGTATCATACATGAAAACAGGTCATAGAACTGGGACCATTTCAGTATGTCCCCATCAAACTTAGGAATGTTGATGCGTGGAAGCTGCACGTCATTATTGTTTGATGTGGCTGGTTTTGCCAATGCACTTTGAACCTCTTTTTCCAGGGTCAGGTAGGCTTCCATGTTGTATCCTCCTTCCTCTGGGTTATCGTATTCCTCGTGGATAGTAAAATGGACTTCTTGTGCTTGAGTCCATAGTGATTTTATTAAATCACTTGATGTACGTCCTCCCGCCTCTGAGAATTGTCTCAGAATGCGTTTTATGGACTCTACTATGGCCTTTTGTCGGCGACATAGTGAAGGCAATTTTCTGTAAGCCTCCGTTGGTTGCTGGCTCCGATCATTCGATTGTGGTTCGACATTTTGACCCACATGAGCACTTGATGCCTGATTTAGCTTGTCCATGCTTTCAGTAAACATCGCAACGTACGTTTTTAGTGTTTTACGCAAGTCCTCACGAAATTTAACGTAGTGGTCGGTCTTATATGCCTTTGATATCTTGGTGTCGATTTCGTTAAATCTATTCCATGCATCCTCGAGAGCCGCCTTTTTTGTTTGTTTACGTTATATTCTGCTTCCTTTCTGGAGAGTCTTTGTTGAAGTTCCTAATTGCTTGCTACTCATTTAATGCCTCTGTGGCGGCAGCGTGTTCCTCCTTGTGGGAATCCATTTCGCCTCTTACTTATACTTTGACCCGTTTTATTTATTTATTTCAATTAACAATTATCTGCTAATTATGGAAAAGGAATTAAAAACAAACTAATTATATATGTACAAGAGAGAAAGGAAAGATACAATTTACACATTTTCTAAACTAAGGTAATGATAAATGTTAAATATAATTTTTTCAAGGGATAATTCGGGGGTTATTAAATGGTAAAAGTAATTATAATTATTGCATAAAACCCGGAAAGGTTCATGCTGGGAGTAATTAGATCTACATATGGATAATCGGATGGGGCGGAAGGTACGGGTTGGTCTGGAGGGAACCGAAAAATCGATTCGTCCCAAAAGCGTTTGGGAGTTCACAATCCCGAGAATGAGCTTATGCATGAATACCACACTATTGCAAATTCTGCGATGGTGTAAAGAGGGTAGGTTCAGTAGTTTTAGCCTAGATGGGTATGGTGGAAGGAGTCTGTTAGAGTCCCAGTTTAGATGTCTCCCGTTGGGAGTATTTTATTCGCTTTGCAGCTGGATACGCTCCTATTCGCAACCGATGTTGGTCAAAGTATAAGTACAGACGACGTACTGGATAGAGGTTTTGTGCTGGTGAAACGCACTTGGGATCTTGATATTATTAATCGTTGATCTTGTTGGCTGATGATCTGAAAGTGACAGATCTGCCAATTTGTTCTACTTATTGGTAGGAGATTCTACCGTAAGTATGTGGCTTGCTGCCAGTTTGTGTTGAAAAGTCCTGGTGACTTCTCAGTGTGATCTGCAGGTTTTCCTGCGTCGGGTTCACCAAATGTTTATGTGTGTTTGTGTGTGTGATTTGGTATGTATACGGTACATAAACCGTTTACAAATTTGTCGTCGCAACTAGAACTTGAACCAGTTGGACTGCGGAGAGGGTTTCCTACGTCGAGCAAATGAGGGTCTGAAGACACGGCGACAGCCTCTGTTGATTTCAGTTGTAGAGAATGAGTGAACAGGCAGTGATGGTACTGTTTCTGATACTGATTTTATTCAACAAACTTAAATTCTATTTATAGGTAACAAAAGGTACAGAAAGTGCTGAGTCTAGTAAGAATATGGTAAAAGGGAATTGGAATTAATATTAAATTATTTTGTATTTAATATGATATTGTGTTATTGGGCAATTGTGATAGTCATCAATTGCACCAGTGTTTTTGCCCTCTGAAGAGCGATCGCATCGTTGGCAGAAATTGCTGCAGAAGCGGTTATTGTTGACTCAGCTACAATGCCTTGTCGTTTGTTATTTCTCCCGTTACATGGGTCGACCTGACTTATTCGATAAGTGTATATTATGTAATATTAATTAATGCATAAATATGCGACTTAACAATAAATATAAAACAAATATTGCTGTCAAAGCAGTTTGTCTTCACGGTGGTCGGCACGGGTGGCGTCGCCATCTGCTGCTGCTGATAGTCAGACACATTACCTTGCCAATAAAATATTGGGGAGCCCAGGATATGCCTGGGGAAGAGCGGCCCCTTTAAACAAAACCAAGCAGCGGTCTGAGCAGTGTAACCGTTCGGAATGCAGTGCACACCTCTGGTCACACCATTGGTCGCTCGAAAAATATATGACATCTGTTTGCTAGCAAACAGGTTTTCGATCTGAGTACAAGGCTTTATGTGACACTTTCCATTCAAAAATCAAACAAACGTTTGACAGCTCTGGAAACCAACTTTATACAACAATAATAACATTTTCCGAGTTTTCTTAAATTTTATTTTTTCCGATCAATTTTCTTAATTTTTTCTTTCATAAGAATCTTCTCCTGACAATAACATACACAACAACAAAAAGAATTAGCGAAATCGGTCCACACTCCAGTGAAAATTATCACGGTTGAAAAACCCGCCTGAAACTTTTCAGCAATCAGCTGATAGAAAATACTAGTCGAATAAAATATTAATGGGTGACCCCCCTCGTACTAGATAAATTCTCGGAATTTCTATTATTATAACTTATCTTATTTCCATCGAATCTTCCATAATATCGTCTATTTGTATTTTGAAGAATTTTTTTAATTTTTTCATTTTTTTTTTCAGAGTATCTGGTTGCATAGAACTTTGCAGTTCTTAAAATCTGACAAATGCAGCTATAAATCCGACCCAGACACTTTGTAGCTGCAGCTTAACGTCTGGAAAAAAAAAAACTCAGGAAAAGTCGAAAAAAATATTTCTTGGCATGAATTTTTGGTTTTTGATAGACGCATTAATTAGGCGTCGTTTAAGGTATCGATGAAAGAATTGATAAATAAACGGCCAAGTTGAAGCCGTTTAGCCAACACGACTCAAAACTCATTTGAGTTCAAAACCGTCCACCCGGGATCGCCATGAAAATTTAGAATAGTTTTTCTAAATGCGAAAGACCGAAAATACTTGGGTGGCGTAAAGTTTTATTAAAAATGCGGGACGAAAGAAGTTCTCGGTGCGCTCGCTCGAATTCAATTTCAACGAGTTTTGAATTTTACCTGAAAAATACCGTACGGTACGTTGCTGGTCCAACTGCCAAAATTATGAAGGAAAATTTATGAAGGAAACATAAAGGACCTGTCGTCTTCGTCGCATGGAACAACGGATTCAAGTAATGACCAATCAGGAGAATATAAATATTGCAAACCTCTTTCACAGGAACAATTGAACGATTTGGTGGGGCTTAAGAGCAGTAGGGAAAGTTTAAAGGCTGTTTTAATACACAATGGAAACAATGGGAATCTTATTTGATTGACAAGGGGAGACAGCCACAAAACTGAAATTATTTTTAGAACAGTAACAGTTTGCTTTGTTCCCAATCGGCAGTTGGGCCCGCAACCTTCCAAAAAGTATTTTTTGTCTATTTTTTTCGGTTTGGTTAACTAATTATAGCTCCACCGTCTCTCCATAGATTTTAATGAACAATACCTTAAACGACGCCTAATAAATGCGTCAGACTAAAACTAAAAACTAAAAAAAAAAACAGATTTTTTTTAAATTCTAAAAATAAATTAAATCATTTTAAATCCCGAAATCTATTAGAAAAAGTCATTTTGGGCCACAGTGGAAATGTAGTGTCGACTAGAATAATCAAGCTGGTTAGAAAAGTGCAATTATGAAGACAAATTTAATCTAATTAAGTCGAAAGAATACAGATTAAAGTCTAGTACTCAGCGCTAAATTTTACGTATATTCCGCTCGCCTCCCAGTGTGACCAAAGTGTATGCTCTACGGTTACACTGTTTTGTGTTTGTTTTCAAACAGAAATCTGTTAAAATTTTAAATTTTGCATTAAAGCCAGCAGAAATGTTTTATTTGTGGGCGATGTAGAGCTGAAGGACAGCAATGCACCCCGCAATGTTAGATAAATCCGATCCTGCGGGACAGAAATGCAATCAAGATCTTTTTTATATCCTTTTAAACTTTAACTGATTTAAATGAGTACATACCGGGTATAATATTAATAAATAATAATATCTATATAATCGCTATTCATTCGACTGCCTTAATTAGATTTAATCTGTCTTTATTATTGCCCCTTTGTAGCTGTCTTGCACTTGTTTCCTTCCATTTTTAATGGGAGTGTGTATGTGCCTTTTGAACGACGAAAGATAGAATATTTCTATGTTCCGCTCGAGATGGGCACTTTTCGGTTGACCAAAAAACAGGGATTTCTTATCGATTTCATACGAATATAATCCCCAATTTCGGTCGACGTAAAATTTAGCGCGTCTAAGTACTAAGCTTTAACTAAAACATTTAAATTAAAAAAAAAAAACCAGTTTTGTTATTAAGATAAATATGGCAAACAAATTTGTACGAGAGCGGAGCACACAAAGTTCCATTCGTGCAAATTTTTCCCAAATCGTTATCGCCAAAAATTGGCGAAAGCCCGAGCATGACTGTGAGATAAACATCTTCACAAAAATAACTTAGCTATCAAATTCTAAAAAATATAGACATACATACCTATCGCCAGGCCGTAGACTTGAGCCACACTTTGCACAACTAAAGCACCTTAGATGAAATACACAGTTAATTATTTGTTTTTGTTGACTTTGTATATCAATATTATTTATTCCAGTAAGCGCTTTTGCTACCAATTCACTTGGGGGAATAGTTTCGCCACATCCGGAACATACTCCAGAGCATCCGAACATACTGTAAAAATGAATTAAGTTTAACAAAATATATCTCTTTAGATGTTGAAGTAGTTGTAATTTTTTATACCCATACTGAAAAAAGAGTTAAGGTAAACTTAACTGTGGTAAACTTAGATGTGTGCAACGCAGAGAAGGAAACGTTTCCGACCCAATAAAGTATATATATTCTTGATCAGCATCAATAGCCGAGTCGATATAGCCATGTCTGTCTGTCTGTCTCGATGAGCGCCTAGATCTCAGAGACTATAAGAGCTAGGGCAACCAAGTTTGGTTTTCAGAGTCATGGGATATCACACTGCTATAAGTGTATTTCCCAATTTCGAACCGCCCCCCTCCGCCACCACAAAGGACGAAAATCTGTGGCAGACACAATTTTAAAGATACGATAAGACTAAACTAAACGCAGTATCGTAGAGAATACCCATATCTACCAGATTGCCGAATCTGAATCAGATCGGATCATAATTATAGCCAAAATGAGAAATTAATTCTACTTATTCACTTTCTCGCTCGCACACTCTGCCTCGTTATGTACGCGAGCGAATACCATCTAAATGGTACATGAATAATCTGTATGTTGGATTTAGAATATACTTTGTAGATGTACATTCTTGTACAATATACATTCTTGATCAGCATCAATAGCCGAGTCGATATATAGATATGACCGTCTATCCGACCGTCTTGATGAGTGCCTAGATCTCAGAGACTAAAAGAGCTAGAGCAACCAAATTTGGTATCCAGACTCTTGCGTAACTATTTCTATTTTTTTTTATACCCGTAAAAGTGGATGTGTATAACGCAGAGAAGGAAACGATTCCGACCCCATAAAGTATATATATTCTTGATCAGCATCAATAGCCGAGTCGATATAGCCATGTCTGTCTGTCTGTCTCGATGAGCGCCTAGATCTCAGAGACTATAAGAGCTAGGGCAACCAAGTTTGGTTTTCAGAGTCATGGGATATCACACTGCTACAAGTGTATTTCCCAATTTCGCCCCGCCCCCTTCCGCCCCCACAAAGGACGAAAATCTGTGGCAGACACAATTTTAAAGATACGATAAAACTAAACTAAATGCAGTATCGTAGAGAATACCCATATCTACCAGATTGCCGAATCTGAATCAGATCGGATCATAATTATAGCCAAAATGAGAAATTAATTCTACTTATTCACTTTCTCGCTCGCACACTCTGCCTCGTTATGTACGCGAGCGAATACCATCTAAATGGTACATGAATAATCTGTATGTTGGATTTAGAATATACTTTGTAGATGTAGATAATAGAAGTAGCAAAAAAATGTAAAACGTAAATTTTTTTTTTTAATTCTAAAATTCTAAAAAATTATAAGCTCAAAAATGTATATACTGACTGAGTACGGGTATAAGTAGAGTCGCGTCCCCAGAAGCGACTCAATTCCTTCTCATTTTTATTGATTTTTGGGACAAATAACTGTCCAGAAATTATAACTTTCCAGAAATTATAACTTTCCAGAAATTAGAACCATCCCAGGAACAAAGTAGTTCTAATATCCGAACTTCGATTTTTTATTTGACATAGTTGAAGATGTCTTAATTATTCATCAATTGAGTTATTTGCTTGGCTAATGTCTGCTAAGTATGCGAAGAGGCAATTGTCATGGTCGAAATTTAATTATAAAATCGAGATATTATTCATCGGGTGGTAAACCTACATAACCTGAAGTCCAGAAGAAGCCCCATCATCAATGCCGACGGAGTCAGGCGGGATACTCCAAATCAAAACGTTTGGTTCATTGACCTTTTGCAGGCCACAAACAACAAGAAGGTCTCAAAATTACAAGGGTGGGTAGGCAACGTGTACAAATTGAGCTGCCCAGGAAGAACAACGGCGTGCGGCAATGCTTTCGCTGTTATGAGTTCGATCACACAAAAAACTACGGCCTGAAGCGACAGGTATGTGCTCAGAGGATCACTGGACAGGTGCCCCCAATTGCAATGCCAACAATGCTCGAACTGTGGAGGGTAGCATGCAGCATACGACAGATCATGTAAAATCACGTAATGATGCTGAGAAATTCCAATCGACCGTGAAAATTGCACCTCAGAGCCAAGGAAACACCACAAAGGGCTAGAAGGTCGATGAATGTCCCCTCGACGGCTGTCCAGCGAGGGATCTTGTTTGCAGATGCATCCAAGTTTAATCAGCACCAGCAAGCATGACACTAAAGAGGCCAACAGAACGCATCATACCTCCCACAGGACTACAACAGCTCCTTTCCGGTACTCGAAGGTAACCGCAGGCAGCCCACCTCCCACCAAGACCAATGCCCTACCCCTGGTCCCCTACTGGATGCATTGATGCAGGGATTACAAAAATCCGTGGCAGATCTCACAGCAGCAGTTGCAGGGATCCTGCAAAGCTTGGACCAGCTGCGAAGCACAAAAGCACCTCTTCCCTTACACACATCCAGAAATTCACAATCGGACTCTGGAACATTGCTCACAACTCCAATGAACTGGCACTATTCTTGCGTGCTCACAATGTCGACGTGATGCTAGTCACAGATACTCAGCTGATCGAGGGAAGGCATTACACGATGGATGGCTACGATGTATGCAGATCGGATCACCCGAGCAACAGGGACAGAGGAGGAGCTACCGTCCTCATAAAGAGTGGAATAACGCACTACCACCTGCACGAGGTAAGACTAGGGCAGATCCAGCTAGCAGCGGTAATGGTGGACACCCAGCGTGGAGAAATACTGATCGCAGCCGCCTACCCACCACCATCGACCCCTTGGACCAGTGCAGAGTTCGAAGCTTGCTTAGCCAGCTTTGAACCAGGTTCATCATTGGGGGCGACTTCAATGCTAAGCACAGAATCCTGGGCAGCTACAGAGGAGACCGCAGAGGAGCGGCACTGCACGATGCCCTCACAAACTGCGCGGCCCAAGTACTAGCGACGGGTAGCCCAACCTTTTACCCAAGTAGTCGCCTGGACTTTTTCGTATACAAGTCGATCCCCAGCAATCTGCTCTCAGTCCGTGAGGAACACGAGCTAGGCTCTGACCACTTACCACTAATCGCGAAACTAACGGCTACACTCCAGATGATCCCTGCCAAGAAGAGGATACTCAATTCTGGAAGGCTCCCTGGAACTAAACACGGAGCTGAGGACCACCGTGGAAGTGGAAGGGGCCATTGACTCATTTGTGGCCAAGATCTGCGAGGCTGCTGCAGATGCTGCCCCACAAGGTCACCAAGTCACTCAACCGTCGCGTACTGGAAGTCACAATAGCGTGACGTCGAGTAAAGTAGAAGGACTACTGCTTCTAAAAAAAAGGCTAAGGAAAGTATTCCTCCGCACCAATGACCGCAGGGTGAGGAGAGGAGCCAACAGACTGAGGAAAAAGCTGGCCACGCTAAAGTCCGAAGCCACCGGAAAACTACTATCTGAGGCGACTGCAGACGTGCACTCGAACTACACCCTATGGAAACTCACGAGCCGATACAAACGGCAATCCACCCCTAGCTTCCCAGTAAGGAAGGCAGATGGCTCATGGGCGAGGTCAGGAGCGGACCGGGTGAAAGCCTTTGCAGATGAGCTGGAGGGCAGATTCAGACCATTCAAGACGCTGCTAAGCTGGATGAAATCCACCGAATGGACCTCCCGGTGGCCCCAATCACACTCCAGGAACTAAAGACGGATACACGCTTGCTCAAAGATAAAAAGGTCCCAGGAAAGCACAATATAGATAACAGAGTGGCAAAAGTGCTGCCACTCAGAGCATTTTTGTACCTGTTACAAATACTGAATGCAATGCTGAGGTTGGGACACTTCCCCAAAGCATGGAAAGCCGCGCAGGTTGTCATGCTGCATAAGCCCGGCAAATCCCCGAATGACCTGGCCAATTACAGGCCAATCAGCCTGCTCCCGACTTTTGGGAAGCTCCTGGAGCGCTGCATTCTTCGCAGATTATTGGACAGCCCATCCGTAAATCAAGCTATCCCTAATCACCAATTTGGGTTCAGGCTGAGGCATGGTACTCCTGAGCAACTGCATAGGGTGGTGGAGCATATCATGGATGGCTTCCACAGGAAGCAGTACGTCATAGCAGCGTACCTGGACATCCAGCAAGCATTCGAAAGAGTTTGGTACGACGGATTACTTGCGAAGATAAAACTCCTGATAAGCCCCCAGCTGTTCCTGATTATTGGAAGCTTCCTAAAGGACAGAACGTTCCAGGTCGCACAGAGCGGAGCAGTTCCCACGGTGAAGGTGATTGAAGCCGGAGTCCCGCAAGGCAGCGTGGTAGGGCTAACGCTGTACAACAGCCTTTTCACGCACGATATGCCTTAGAATAGCGTTGACAATACGTCCCAGCCAATCGATGTGAAACATGCACATTTTTCGACGACACGGCAGTCCTGTCAAGGGCCAACTGCGTTTTCAACGCCACGGACAACCTCCAGCGGCACCTCAAAAGATTTGAGAACTGGGAATGTGTGAACCCTGAGAAGTGTGGTAGTGACACACACGCTTAGGAAAGGAACGTGCCCTGGGGTATTTCTTAATGGCGAGCTGTTGGAGAAGCGGAAGGAACATAAGTACCTGGGAATCACGCTGGAAACCCGCCTGACCTTTGCCAGCCACACAAGGATGGTCAGAAGCGCCCTGGAAAGCAAGGCTAGAAAACTCTACTGGCTTCTTAAGCCTAACAACAAGCTCATCCAGGCCAATAAGATCCGCATATATAAGGTAATCCTGGCGCCTGCATGGAGGTATGGCATCCAGGTCTATGGTATCGCAGCGAAAACGAACCTGGACAAGTTCAGGGTGTTTCAGAACAAGACCCTCAGAAATATCTGTGGGGCTAAGTGGTATGTCCGTAATAGAGACATCGCCAAACACCTTGGAGTCCCCTCAGTCGCTGAAATTATTAACGAACAAGCTACAAGATACTTGACCAAACCAAGCAACCACCCGAACGTCTTCGCTAGAAGATTGGTAAG